GCAATTCTCCTGCCTCAGCCTCCTGAGTAGCTGGGATTACAGGCATGTGCCACCATGCCCAGCTAATGTTTTGTATTTTTAGTAGAGACGGAGTTTCACCATGTTGACCAGGATGGTCTCGATCTCTTGACCTCATGATCCACCTGCCTCAGCCTCCCAAAGTGCTGGGATTACAGGCTTGAGACACCGCGCCCGGCCAGGTCTCTTCAATCATCCTTTAACTATAATCATCAGCACCTGGGTGTTACAACAATAATCATCACTCTGCATTCATGTAATACTGTAAACTATAAAGTCCATTTACATATATTATATTTAATTCTGATAAAAATGAGAGGAAAGTAGGATAGATTTTTAAAAATAAGGCCCTGGGGCCAGGTATAGTGGCTCAAGCCTGCAATCCCGAAGCATTGGGAGGCCAAGACAGGCGGATGGCTTAAGCCCAAGAGTTAGAGATCAGCCTAGGTAACACTGAGACCCCACCTAGTCAGGCACAGTGGCCAGTGCCTATAGTCCCAGGTACTCAGGAGGCTGAGGCAGAAGGATTGCTTGAGCCCAGAAAGTTGAGACTACAGTGAGCTGTGATCATACCACTGCACTCCAGCCTGAGTGACAGAGCAAGACCCTGTCTCAAAAAAATTAATAAAGTAAACTAGGGCCCTGAGGTTCATTGAGTCATTGAGCTGCTAAATTCAGAGCTAAACAGAACACAATTAGTTCTTCTGAGAGCAGTTCTCTTTCTGGTACCGAGGATCAGAAAAGCCCATAAAATGTCACCAGGTATATTCCTCTGCTTTAATTTATATCTATAAAGCAATAAACTAGAGGTGGGGAGTCTATTCTATTTTCTAGCATCTAGAAAAGGAAGCCCAAAGTCACAAATTCCCTCTTGGTCACATTAACCAACTGAATAAGCATCATTGGACAGAAATAAAATGCAAGCCACAAGAAATTTAAAATTTTCTGGCAGTCACATTAGAAAAGGCAAAAAGAAGCAGGTGGAATTAATTTCTTTTTATTTTTTATTTTTGATTAAAGTGTCGCTCTGTTGCCCAGGCTGGATCGCAGTGGTGTGATCTCGGCTCACTGCAACCTCTGCCTCCTGGGTTCAAGTGATTCTCCTGCCTCAGCCTCCCAAGTAGCTGGGATTACATACATGCGCCACAACACCGGTCAAATTCTGTATTTTTAGTAGGGACGGGGTTTCACCGTGTTGGCCATGCTGGTCTGGAACTCCTGACCTCAAGTGATCCACCTGTCTCGGCCTCCCAAAGTGCCGGGATTACAAGTATGAGCCACCGCGCCTGGCCATTTCAGTAATATATTTTATTTCAGTCAATATACCCATAATATTGTCATTTCCATATCTAATAAATATTAAAATGATTATTTTGGGTTTATATTTTACATGCTTAGTCTTTGAAATATGGAGTGTATATTATCCTTACAGCACATTATTCAGGACCAGCCACTAGTACAATAGCCACTCATGGCTAGTGGCTTCCATCTGGGACAGCATGGTTCTGAACATTCATTAAAATCCTCTGAGTTGGCCGGGCGTGGTGGCTCAAGCCTGTAATCCCAGCACTGTGGGAGGCCGAGGCGGGTGGATCACGAGATCAAGAGATCGAGACCATCCTGGTCAACATGGTGAAACCCCGTCTCTACTAAAAATACAAAAAATTAGCTGGGCATGGTGGTGCATGCCTGTAATCCCAGCTACTCAGGAGGCTGAGGCAGGAGAATTGCCTGAACCCAGGAGGCGGAGGTTGCGGTGAGCCGAGATCGCGCCATTGCACTCCAGCCTGGGTAACAAGAGCGAAACTCCGTCTCAAAAAAAAAAAAAAAAAAAAAGAAAATCCTCTGAGTTACCTCTTGCCAAGGCGCGAGGCAGGTCTGCAGCTACAGTTTATAGAAATGAATCACTGAGGTTCTATATCTGGTCCTGCAAACACCATAATAAGTAGATTTGGGTGAGGTTTGCCTAATTCCCCCTGCTTCCGTCTTCCCATCTGCTGAGCTGCTAAATCGCCCTTCCTCTCTTCAATGAGGAACCATGTTGAGTGTGAAGAATATGGGAGGCTGGGCAGGGTGGCTCACGCCTGTAATTCCAACACATTGGGAGGCCAAGGCAGGCAGATTCCTTGAGACCAGGAGCTCGAGACCAGCCTGGCTAACATGGCAAAACCTGGTCTCTACTAAAAATATAAAAATTAGTCAGGAGTGGTGATACACGCCTATAATCCCAGCTACTCGGGAAGCTGAGGCACAAGAATTACAACTGCTTGAACCCGGGAGGCGGAGGTTGCAGTGAGCCAAGATTGTAACACTTGTACTCCAACCCAGAACTGTGTCAGCTTCAGCACTAAAAGTTTCAAGTTCCGCCTGGGCACTGTGGCTTATGCCTGTAATCCCAGCATTTTGAAAGGCTGAGCTGGGCAGATCACCTGGAGTTCAAAACCAGCCTGTCCAACATGGTGAAACTCTGTCTGTACTGAAAATACAAAAATTAGCCAGGCATGGTGGTGCACACCTGTAATCCCAGCTACTCAGGAGTTTGAGGCAGGAGGATCGCTTGAACCCAGAAGGTAGAGATTGCAGTGAGTCAAAATGGTGCCACTGCACTCCAAAATGAGTGACAGAGCAAGACTCTATCTCAAAAAAATATACATAAATTCCAATTTTTCGGAGGCATATCATACAAAGGTTTATAATCGTACCTGATGATTTTGTACATGATGGGGTTGGTGAAGAATGGCTCATCCAGCTCGTTGTGGCCCCACTGCCTGTAGCACAACAGATCAATAATCACATCCTTGCGGAACTGGCGTTGATATTCAAAAGCCAGTCGCGTGGCACGGACCACTTCCTCTGGGCTATCTCCATTGACGTGGATGACGGCACAGCCCACAAGCTTCCCTGAAGGACGGAAGATCAAGATGAAACAGGACTGTTGACCCAGAATGACACCGGCCCCCTCTAAGCCCTACTTTCTGCCCAGTCCTCACAGGTAGATATTGGTTTGGTTAAGAACTCAAGCTTTGGAGACCAGCTGGCAAGTTTAAGCTCAGGGGCTCATTGTGTGACCTCGGTAAAGCTACAAATCTCAGCCTGCTTATCTAGAAACCAGGAATAGAAGCTGCTACTTCTTAGTGATGTAAAGGTTCAATGAGTGAATGCACATCAGTATTAAGGCCTAATAGTGCCTGGTATACAGTAGTTAATATACATATTTTGTTATTATTATTATTACCATTACTATCTTTTCCCCTGAGACAAAAGGGTCATTAAAGGATGTACCCTAGAAAAAGATAAATTTTCTCCAAAGAAGCTCAAGAATGGATCTTCAGTATCTTCATCAAACTAATTACACAGACACGCCCAAGAGGCATCCAGTCCAGGCTGTTGGTATAAAAGGAGAATACTTCCTACCATCAAGGAGCCTTGTGATCTGTGAAACTGGAAATGGGCAATAACAGCCCTGTCTTTCTCTTAAGATGACCAATTTCAGCCCTGTGCAGTGGTTCACGCCTGTAATCTCAGCAATTTGGGAGGGTGAAGTGGGATCGCAAGAGACCAGAGTTTCAAGACCAGCTTGGCCAACACAGTGACACTCAATCTCTACAAAATTTTTTTTTTTTTTTTTGGGGTGGAGTTTCGCTCTTGTTACCCAGGCTGGAGTGCAATGGCGCGATCTCGGCTCACCGCAACCTCCGCCTCCTGGGTTCAGGCAATTCTCCTGCCTCAGCCTCCTGAGTCGCTGGGATTACAGGCACGTGCCACCATGCCCAGCTAATTTTTTGTAGTTTTAGTAGAGACGGGGTTTCACCGTGTTGACCAGGATGGTCTCGATCTCTTGACCTCGTGATCCACCCGCCTCGGCCTCCCAAAGGGCTGGGATTACAGGCTTGAGCCACTGCGCCCGGCCTACAAAATTTTTTTTTAAATTGGCTGTGGCTGGGAGTGGTGGCTCATGCCTATAATCCCAGCACTTTGGGAGGCCAATCACCTGAGGTCAGGAGTTTGAGACCAGCCTGACCAACATTGTGAAACCCCGTCTCTACTAAAAATACAAAAATTAGCTGGGTGTGGTGCAGTCGCCTGTAATCCCAACTACTCAGGAGGCTGAGGCAAGAGAATTGCTTGAACCTGGGAGGCAGAGATTGCAGTGAGCCAAGATGGCATTATTGCACTCCAGTGTAGGCAACAAGCATGAAACTGTCTCAAAAAAAAAAAAAAAAAAATTAGCTGTGCATGGTGGCATGTGTCTGTAAGTCCCAGCTACTAAGGAGGCTGAGGAGGGAGGATCACTTCAGCCTGGGATGTCAAGGCTGCAGTGAGCCATGATTGTACCACTGTACTCCAGCCTGAGTAACAGAGCCAGACTCTATCTCTCAAAAAAAAAAAGACTACCAATTTCCATGGGTAAAAAACAAGCTGACTGATTCTTCACATCTTCTTTCTTTTTTTGAGACGGAGTTTCACTCTTGTTGACCAGACTAGAATGCAATGGTGAGATCTCGGCAACCTCCACCTCCTGAGTTCAAGCGATTCTCCTGCCTCAGCCTCCCAAGTAGCTGGGATTACAGGCATATGCCGCCACACCTAAATTTTGTATTTTTAGTGAGAGACAGGGTTTCTCATGTTGGTCAGGCTGGTCTCAAACTCCCAACCTCAGGTGACCCAACCGCCTCGGCCTTCCAAAGTGCTGGGATTACAGGCATGAGCAACTGCTCCAGGACTTATTTGTTTTTTTTTTTTTTTTTTTTTTTTTTT